TGAGAGGGAGATGGAGATGGAGATAGAGAGAGAGACACTGGGTACAGATACACTCCGTTTACCAGAGATACTGCTAGAACTTGCTTTGGAAACTATTTTCATAAATAGCGGCGTCGGCCAGTGTCCAAATGCAAACAGATTCAGAGTCGGACTCGGAGTCGGAGTCACCGACTGGCGCCCATCCGAAGGAAGGGCCAGCCTCTGCTTCTCCCTGTCTCACTCTCCCTCCTGCCAGACAGTCAACGTGAATCCTTTAAGTTTCTTTTGTTCCGAAGCGTAGATCCTAATGCCAGTTTTTCACTCGTGTGATTTATCGGTTTCGTGGTTCAAAGTTCGAGTTTCAAATGCATTTTCCATGTTACCAGAGAGAGGCTGCTGTCAGGGCAGTGGAACTCTGGGCATTCCAGCGGCTACAACAAACTTCGCATAGCTTTGGGCTACCTCGCACTTCACCCCGCACCCACTTTCTCCAGCTCTCTCTCTCTCTCTCTCTGGTCCTTTGGCGTTTATCTTTTTGGCTTTGAAATTGTCAACTCATTTTGGCTTCGTATTTTTTACGCATAAAGTTTTCTTTTTCCAATAATTTCCATTATGGAAGTCAAGATTTGATTTGAGTAGCGGCCGCAGCTACACGTTGGATTGTAATTTGATATGCCACACAAGACGATGCCGGCTGCAACGCCTAATTAAGCCCCATTTGCCCCTGAGGTAGCCCCCAAAGTCAGTGAGTGACAGAAAGCCACCGGTCTCAATATTTGATTAAGTATTGACCTGCAAGCCGCTGGCAAAGCGCGCACTGACCACGTCTTTGGCATCCTGCAAACAATTACGTCTAAATTCATTAGCGAAGGACATGCATAATTAAAGGACACGTCGTGACATCTTCCTAGCAGTGGCAGTGGCAGTGGCTGTGGCTGTGGCAGTGACAGTGGCAGTGACACTCACTCAGGCATGGCCGCACACGCTCTCTTGTGTCTAAGTGGCAGGCAGCCAAGGGCATGGGATCGGATTGATGGGGCTGGGACTTTCGTATAAAAAAGAAATCAATGTCCTTTGCCAGGAAGTGCCTTGGCAATTTGCAATCCTTTGTGCCATTACACAAAGCTTCCTTCCGCTGGGGTCGCTCTCTATCTTTTCGTTTCGATGGGGTTTGATCCTCGAGTTTGTGTCGCCTTCAGCATAATGCTGCTGCTTCTGCCGCTGCTGCTGCTTGCTGCAATCAAAGCGTATCGGTGGCTGTTACTGTTTCAAAACCAGCAGCAGGACTAGGACCAGGAGCAGGAGCCGCATTAATCCTTCATTGACAATCAGGCGGCAGAACCTGTGATGAACTCTGCCCCCCAAACCCGAAGCGGGAAAAAAGCGGAAGTTGTAAAAACGCCAACGCCGCACAAAGCACAAACATAGAAGGAGGAGAATTCTCGGTGCTCTCCTCTCTCTCTCTCTCTGAGGCAGTAACCAGTGGCACGGAACCGATTATAGTATGCCGTATTTGGATTCCAGTTTCAGTGGCAGATTCCGATTCCGACTCTGGGGCAGATTCCGATTCCGCCTGGAGGGCATTCGTCAAACGACGCAGCAACTGAAGCAATTGTTTCGCCAACTTTCCTTATTTCTTTCCTTCTCGCTTGCGCCCTTTTGTTCATTATGTACTTTGCTTTCTTTTCTTTTCATTGCTTTTCCTTTATTTTCCTTTCGTTTCGTTTGTGCTTTGAAAAGCGAGAGGCAGGGCAGAGAAAGTGGGGGAGGAGTGTGGTGTGGCATAAACACTGATTGATTGATTAGAGGCTTGAGCCCTCAGACTCTCAGCACCACGCATGTGGCATTCGGGGGCACAGTCTGCGGCACTAAACCTAATGAGCAACCCCTCGAGCAAGTGTCGCATCAATCAAGGGCGCATTTAATGCGTTATAGCAACGATTTCTCTTGATTTGCGATTATTGTTTAGGTGTGTGAGCGCCCTCCACTGACAGACGGCGATTAGCAAAGTGGATCCACACCGAAATGAATGAATGATTTCCTTCCACTATAGTCCGCCACAGTCGAGTGAATCCTTTAAGCAGCAAAGCCCAGCCCTCGAGTTAAAGCCCAGCCCTCGAGTTAAATCCCAGCCTAAACGCACCTCTAGGGCCAGGCCAGGCCAATGCCTGATGCCAATTTCGTTCGACTGTTATCTATGAAATTGACTACGTGGCCGAGTGGCTCAAGTGTCGGGGCAATCGATAGCCAGAGCTTACCTGATGCTGGTGCTGCCTCAGCATTGTTGCATGTCATGGCTTCCGCCTTAGTCAGTGTCCTTTTTCGCACAGGATACACCCTTAATGCCATTCCGTTACTCTACGTCTTGTCACTGCCCGGAAAATCATATCATCAATTCGCTCTGGCCCCCAGTTTTCCACACAGTCAGCAGTGCTGACACTTCTCCTTGCCTCCATCTCCTCCGGTAGCTGTATCTGTGTCGTTCCCCCCCTCTCTGTGCGTATCTGTATCTGTGGCAAGTGCTCATTATCACTTGAAATGTTGTCAATTACGGATTTTCGTTTCGCTTTGTTTTGTTTTCGATTTGACTTGCAATTGAATTTCCACTCGCTCTGCTCTGCCATTTGAATATCCCGACACTGGGTTGTCGTCCTTTTGTCGCCGTGGCTGACGTTGCCATCGTCACGAGCAGTTGCCTCCGCCAGCAATCCGCATCCCAATCCTCCTTAAGGAGGGGGCTTATGATGAGCGTTTCCGCTGCCCCTGGTCGCATTTTCTTATTGGAAAAACTGCAAACTTTATACATAAAAAATTAATTTAATGAAAGCTTAGATTTGCGTTAATGATGGCTCCCATAATCAACTGTTTTATGGCACTTTAAAAAAGTTGAATCCGCCATATACATGGCCCTGCTCCTGCTCTGCCTCCGCAGGACATTTTTCATGCTGTAACTTTTTAATTACAACATTTCGTCGGAGGAAAAGCCATCACCGCACCCAAAAATAGACATGTATGTGCTAAATTATGTTCCTTATTATTTCGGGGGGATCTATTGAAAGCACAATTGATTAATGCCAGCACGCCGCAGGACTATCTCATTACAAAGGCTATGAATGTAAATCAAATATTCACTTGATGCGAGAGATTCATTTTGCCCCTGTCCCGGTCCCTTTTGGTCAGAGAATTTTCAATTAAAATCATAATGAAATATTTTGAAATTTTCTGTTATCCAAAAACTGTGCGGAAAGCATACCCGAAAATTGTATGAAAATTCCAATGGCAAAACGGCTGAAAGGCAAAAACAAAAGAGGCGGATGTGAATATTAGTTTGTGGCAGGCAGAATGTCCAACGCCCCCCACCACCCGCCGTCGTGGCAACCGCAAAATAATTTTCTCCAACAAAACGAAATACACACACAAAAGGCTATTACTCAGAAAATGTCTGTCTGTTCTAATGTTCTGCTGTTCGGGGTTCTCTCCATTCAAACAATAACACACCGAAAAACACATTAAAGTTCAAAATGATGACCCGAACATAATCGACTTGCCTAAGAATAATATTTAAATTTAATTTAAATGCTCACATGAGGGCATTTAACAGAAAGAGAGTCCTGTCGTAGCCCCAGCCCCAGCGCCAGCGCCAGCCCAGCCCCAAGCGATGAGCAAATCGATGAGGAGGATGAGAGTGTGTCTGGATGTATCTCAATCTGCTGGACAATTTGCGAAAACGATATGGAAAAGGTTGATGGGCATGGCTGGCATGCATTCGTTTCCAGGGTCCTTCGGTTAATGCGTTTGTTGTTTTTGCGGCAACAATAACTTTCAGTCTTATGCTTAAGGACCCACACAGGGATCCCAGCACAGGACCAGTGGCTAATGTCATTTTATTGCTCCATCGTTGGGAGCTCTGGCTTTGGATCTGTGGCACAGTGTCTTGCCTCTGTCTGTGGCTCTGTGTATTTTGAGGGGGGTGAAAATTCCATTTTAAATTAGAGACAAACGAACATTCATTTGGTTGCAAGGCTTAATGGCTTTGGGTCGCCTTGAGTTAATGCGTTGATATGATGATATCATTAACAAAATTTGGCTCCTTGTGCTCCTTGTGCTCCTTGCTTAGCTTATGCGACCATAAGCTTCTGTTTTTGCGGCCAGAGATATGGAAGCTAAACAATTGCAAGAAACAGTTGCTGATTTTGTGGTCTAATTGATACACAAGAACGACTGGACAACTGGACAGCAGAACAGGACAAGATGTCCTAGCCAAAAGTTACAAATGCAACGACCAGCAGCATCTGACAATTGTTTTCAATGTTGTGGTCAGCATCTATATCTCTCGTTCTCTCTCTCTCTCTCTATCTGTCTCTCTCGCTCTCTGTCTCTGTCTCTTTTGTCTGTCCATCTGTCTGACTCTCTCACACATCCAATCTATTTTCAGTTGTCAGCGACACACAGTATTCCTTCAGTTCTCCTGCCCCCAAAGCTGTCAATCAGTGGGTGGCTGCTGATGCATCTGCCTGGGGCATACGCTGCGTATGCTTAATGCTATTTGCCACAAAGACACTCACACATGGTTTGTGTAGTGTCGTGTGCTGCTGTTTAGTTAAAGGTTTTTGTGTCTTATTGCAGCAAAGTTTTTAAGCACGTCGAACTCTTAAAACTTACGAACGACGCGTGTCATTGAAAGCCTTACACACACACACAAGCAGAGAGAGAAGTTGTCAAAGCAGACACGAGTGACAAGAGAAAAACGAGACAAAAGACAAAAGAGAGACATAGAAATAGACATAGACATAGACAAAGACATAGACATAGAGGATGGATAAATAGACTAAAAGTAAGGGCAACATTTCAATTTGCAGCTACTGAAACTTTGACAAGTAGCTGGAGAGCCAGTTATCAATAAGCCTGAGAGCAGAGTAGAGCGCAGCAGAGGAGGAGCGGCATCATCTCAAATATGATTATACGCCTGATGCTTGAAACTTTTTGCTCATGCAATGCACTCTAAACTCTTTACAGCGCAGCAGACAGCCACAGACACAGGAGGAGAAACAGAAGAAGTATCTGCAGAAGGAGCATCAGCATCAACAGTAGAACACACACAGGAAAAATGGCCAGCCAGCGGGAGGGAGCAAGATGTGCTTCTCGTCGAGGAGCAGGGCTCTTGCATTCCACATTCAATATGCTGGCATTCAGCTGGATTATAATCTCCGAGTTAATGCTCAGTGGTAAGTGTGCACGAGTCTCATAGTCCAGCCTGCCGCCAATCCCTCACGAGTTTCGTGTCATGTTAAACGCAATCTGAATTCCGAATTTATTATGCCAACAGCGTGTGTGTGCCACCATTTTGCGGTTAAAATTGATTATTTAATTTACCAAATAAGTGTTTATTATATGCACTGCCAGACCCCAATTCCCAATCGCCAATCCCCAATCCCAATCCGCGCTGTAATGCCATTTCCCTTTTAAAAATGACAAGAGAGAGAATGTGCCATCGCTTGCTTTTGATTAATATTGGTATGTTCAATTAAAGTAGCCATAATTTGGCCAGCCACAAGCCGCCCTGTCAGCCCTGTCCGTACTGTCCACACTGTCCGTATATTCCATCCTGTGGCACCCACAAATCGATGGAAAAAGTCCAGTCGATGGACACTTCATTTATTTTAAATCAGTTTTCATGCCATAGCCATGCCACACTCCACTCCCAGCACACGACTGTGCAGAATTTTTCCGGCATTCTGATCTGCATATCCGAATGTATTCAATTACGTTGATTATGTTTCAGCCATCGAAGGATATGGATGTAGAAACTATTCCCGAAATGGTCGCAGTATATCCCACATATGTATATCTCTTTACTGCAATTTATTTAAATTTCCACTTGATGTTGGCAGATAAGTCATCGGATTTAATGCGGATAATTCGTGTGGCAACTGGCGCTCCGTAAATGAATCGAGCCCGAGATGAAACAGAAATGAAATAAAATGAAATAAATTGCATTAAATGCAAGTCAAATTCGGAGCGTCGACCATGGCGTCGCCCAGGGCCACTGTCATAAATTAACACTCAGGGGGGCAAGGGGGATCCTCCATCCCCCTCCAGCAACAATAGCAGACCAGGCCTGATCCTTGTCCTTTGGAAACTCCCGTGCATAATTGAGTTTTATTTGCACTTTTTTGTTGGTTTGTTCTCTTTTATTGTCTCTTTGCCTGGGGCATAATCGAATTCAAATTGTTGCCACATGCCGTGTACGAAATTCGCAGTCGAGAACCTCTCTCACTGAGAGTCCTGTCACGAACATCCCTTCATCCTTCCATACATACATACATACATACATACATATGTACATATCCGTTTGCGTATGCCTTTCCACTCTGGTTGCTGATAGTGTTTTTGTTTTTGTTCTGTCCCCCCAAAAGCTCATTGCCTAAAGGATCTGAAGATATTCGTGCCGGAGGCCGTCATCATGGGAAATGCAGCGACATTGTCTTGTCAATATGATTTGGAGCAGGTAAGTGACGTATCCTGAAGAAACAACACCAGCAGCAGCACCAACAAGAGCAGCACCAGAAGCTATGAGGATATTGTCAACGGCGGCATGCTTAATTATTATAATTACATGCACTTTGTCTTGCCGTTGTCACCATTCTCTCCGTCCTCTCTGTCCCTGCTGCTGTGGCTCGGCTCATTGTCGCTGCGTTGCTGCTGCTGCTGCGATGTCTATCCACTCAGGCTTTTCATTAACGCATTTTCCTTCCGTTTTACAGGCAGCACTGTACGCTGTACGCTGGTACTTTGGCCAGGAGGAGTTCTATCGCTATGTACCCCGCGAGGCCAAGCCCACATTTGTCTTCGCCGTTGCCGGCATTAATGTTGATGTAAGTTTAATTAAGCATGGAATCTCTCTCCCACACAATGCCCTGGGACTCCTGTCTCCATTGTCTCTCCATTTAATGAACAAATCACAAGAGCGGCAGCCATGTGTTCAAAGTTTTTTCAGACTAACAAATGGGAAAATATTCAAATATTGTGCAAATATTTATGAATGTAGACAGTGTGGCGGTGTTGCAGCTGCCTGAGGCAGTTGCAGGCAGCATCGTCTTTTCCCCCTCTAGCCCCCATGGGCGATCTGTGTGTGTGTGTCACACTTTTCATTTCTATTGCTATCCCATATTTGTAGACTTTTATTTACAATATTCGGTGGTGTTTTCCATTTACATATGTGTGTGTGTGTGTGTATGCTGCACAATTGGGAAAGTGCCACAACGCCACACACAGCCCCAAATGCTGATACAGCCGCCACTACCGCCGATGCCGCTGCTGCTGCCGCTGACTGAAATATTGCGAAAAGTGCAAAATAGTTTATGGCGCGCGCGGGCTGGGCTGGTCTGGGCTGCTAGGCAAACAAAAGCAAACAAATAACCGAGAAACCAGAAAACAGCAAGATTCTAAAGGATATGGGTACAATCCATCCTAGTGCACGGAAAATGCTCAGCATTTTGCATGCCATTCCATTCCATTCCGTTTGTTCCATGCAGCGCTCATTAATAAAAACAACAGCCGCAAAGTATGCAATAAATTCGGTGCCCCGAGCAGCAGCGCCGCAAGCGGCGAAATATTTTGGACACCATTTAAAAATCAGCATCCGGTTCCTGTTTTAACCATAAAAACACAACCCACAGAAACCAGACAAGGGTTCCCACTGAATATATGCTGCATATCAGGGAGGATACTCTATGATTCGAAAGGACATAACCACTAGCTAAGACTGCACTGGAATAAAAGGCCAAAAGATGCAGAAAGATCAATTTGGAACCTCCTGTTCCATTTCGCTCATGCCATAAACATTAAACATAAACATAAACACCATCCGCCGCAAGGTGTGCAGTAAATTTGGGTCGCCTAAGGCATGGAAGTACCATTACACATTTTGGGAAATATTAATATCTAATGGAAAAAATGGACATGCTTAAACGTAAAAAACTTAAATATCATCTAGCAGATCATCCAAGACGTGCAGCTTCCAAAACCAACAGCTGTTTCATCTGGGAATCTTACCATTCACTGATCCAATGCATAATACGAGTATACCCTGCAAAACCCTTGACAGTGCAGTGTATAAACCTTCTCTCCTCAATGGGGGCGTTCGTTTTGGGGAAAACGAATCGATTGTCGTATAATCATAAATAAATAAAATTGAATTTGCCATGAAAAATTTGTGTGCGCTTGTGTGTGTGTGGGTGTGCGGGGGAAATATAAATTGAAAACTCATTCGTCCGCACATAAAACTGCAAACTCATTTACAAACACTTCGGGCCACATTTTTCACAAAAAATTCGCCAAAAAAATATATATATAAGAAAAGGGGAACGTTAAATAATCATAAATAATGGCATAAAGCAAAGGAGTGGGGTGCGGATGATGGAGTAATGTTTGTTTTATGTAATGGCGGGGCTGCTAGCTACCAGAATCGCTCCGATTTCCCATCGGCTATAACAATTGCCCGGTCGCTCGCATCGATAATGGGGCACGCTGGCCACATCAATCAGCAGGGGGAGTGGGGCATGCCGCCGCTGCCGGACTTGATTAATTTGCTTTGATTGTGTCTTTAATTTGCACTCTGGCCCATGCAGCCCTGGCAGTGGGACAAAAAAGCAAAAAGGGAGAATGAGAAAGAGAAAGAGACTAGCCGGAAAAACAGGGAAATAAAATACGATAGCAAATAAAATAAAACACGAGAGAGAAATACGAGTGAATACAAGGAGGAACAACTCGGCTGCTGCTCGAATGTTAATTTGCCACTAATTAGCATTCAAAGGCATTTTTGCACTAATTAAATATTTCGATTGCAGCATCACGACGGGGCATAGGGGCCGGGGCAGGGGCAGGGGCAGAGGGCGGGGCAGTGGGCGTGCGGCTATGCGTGTTAATTATTTCCCATTTCTACTTACTTTCCTTTTTGCCTTGCGCTCTCTATCGATTCCTCGCTTGTTTTTTATTTTATTTGGCGAATCGGAAACTATTCATTGAGGGCATTGCTGGGTTAATGTGGCAGGAGAGCCTACTTATGTGAGTGGCACGCCCCCGAGTGGAAATACATTTTAATTTGAGAACATGGCTCCTTGAGGATGCAATCAGCTATGAACCGCAAACAGGTGAAAAGCGTAAGAAAAGCGAGCTGGTGGGAGAGGCGGAGGCGGAGAGAGGAAGAAGTGGTCATGGCCCAATGGAGAAAGCCATAGAGAGAAAGAAAAGCTGAGAAGAGAGAGGGGGAGGGTGGACGGTCGATTGCATAATGCAAATGATTTAGCCAGCATTCGCCATGCAATTAAGTTTGAAGGTTAGCCCATAGTTTTAGCCACAAGCAGCAGTGGAGAAGCACCAATGGCAGTGGCAGCACCTTTTGAACAAAAATAAAAGTTAACAGCCAGCACTCGGCGCTGCCCCCAGCCCAAGGGGCAGCAGCAACAAATCGAAATGAGGCGCCCCCAACTTAAATTGATAGCAGCACTAACGAACGGCAAAGCGAGCGTCAAAGGCCACAGGCCAGAGGTCGAGTCCTGGTCCTGGCCACAAATGGAAAATGGAATTTTTAAGTTATGCCAAGGAATCAAGCATCTGCCACTACTGCCACTAATGCTGCCCTGATCTAGATGCAGATGGATGGCTGGCTGGCTGGTATGATGGCGGAGGTGCCTCGAAATTGTGGCAAGTGCCGTAATTGAGATTAAAACATTATAACTTGACTTGTTTTACTTTTGCTAAATCATTTCAAACAGCTAAACACGGGGCTTAATGAGAAAAGTTCCCGACCCGTGCGCCATTATGCATATGCACATACACCCATACATATACGCTCATATATATGATCATATGAGTGTGTGTGTATCTATGAGTGTCAGAGGTGGTGTATAAAGGAGGCAAACACTTGAATGGCAGCTGCCGCTGCTTCTGCTGCTGCCACTGCATCTGCTTCTGCTGCTGATGATGATGATGCCGCTGACATGCCACCATGCCACCACTTCTGGGGGCATGGCATCCGCTGGGTGGGGTGGGCGTGGCCGAGACCAAAGTGCACTCGTGTCGTCCACTTGAGCGTTATTGGAATGTAAATGTATGCATATTAAGGCGGATAGCACGAGGCGGAGGAGGAGGCGGCGACGGAGGCGGACGCAGATAGGAAGTCGCGTCGTCGACAAACTTCAAAAGTCATTCAGCATAGGGAAAGCAACACGCCCCTCCACTGCAGCAGCAACCACCACCCTGCAACACCACTCCACCTGGCGCACATGTCACCGAGTGGAAACATATATACATGTATGTACGAGTATATGCAAAAAAAGGGGAAAATGAACGGGAAAATCATCATGTTAAATGTAATTAAATTTTTAATTTAGAGACAGCCGCTCGCTTCGGTGGCGAATCTTCAATTAAAAACACAATTACCAGAGAACCACCCGCTGAGCGACCTGGCAGGGAAGCCAAAGGGGCGGGGGAGGGGCAAGGGTCACAGCAGGACAGGAATAGGATATGCCAAGTGCCCCTAAAGTTCTGCGGCTTATTCATTGTCCGCCACAACAATAAAAATCGCCAGCAAGCAAGAGGCCTCTTCTCTGTGTCTCTGCCGCTGCCATTGCCACTGGCTTTCGGGCCCTTTTATCCTCTTCTCCTCAGTTTGTGGACTCCCAAAAAACTTTTTGCACACTGTCAACACGGAAGGAATTATTCCGCATTAAGTTTGCGGTAATGGCAGCCAGCGCCAGTGCTAGTTCCCTGCCTCTGCCTCCTGGCACTGCCTTTCTTTGCCGGAATGTCCTGGCGTTTGCTTTTAACATTGTTAATAACCCGACACGCCGGCTCACATTTATGCACAGCAATGTGCCGCTTAAAATTAATGCACTCTCCGCCTGGAAATACCAGCATCAGCAAAAGCAAAAGCAGCAACAGAAAGAGAACCCAAAGGCAGCCGAAGGCCAAGCGACAGAAGTGACCAAAAGTTGCTCCAATTCAGATCCTGAATTTGCAAGGCTTCTTTCGGACTGTAGGACTTCTCCAGGCACAGTTGTGGGGACTGTTGTTAATTAGGATGCACCATGCAGGAGGGTTTGGGGGGGTATGTGGGAGTCCCCTTTTCGGGCTTATCCGTAAAGTTGAAAAACTGTAATTGAGTGCGCGATGAAAATCTGCATGACCGATGCAACAAATACACTGTGAAAATTTGGAGACTACAAATTTATAACGAAAATAAGTAAGGAATATCAAGTCTACTTAATTGTAGAGGCAGAGTTGCGTTTGAGTCATTTTTATGGCCAGAAAGAACAAGACAAGTTCCAACAGCCCAATGACAACCTTGGGCTGTTTGAACACCTGGCTTTCGAACACCATTAAGGCTAAAACGACGCGACACCTAAATATTAGGTGCTTAAATACAAAACATATTTGAATTACATAGTATTCACTTTGACAATTTTTAAATAGTTTTTTTAATAAATTAAAAACACCTTAATATATATATTTGTGGGAAATATATTTATTCTAAGTTTTAAATTATTTAATTTAGATGCGAGATTTTTTTAAATATTTTATATAGTTCTAAATAAAATATTGTCACATTAATACCAAAATCCATATGTCCACTCTCGGAAATATGAAAATACTACAATTTCAGTGCTTTTTCCTCTGGTTGTAGTTTTTCAGATAGCCCTTCCATATGTGGACCCTCATCCTATGGGATAATGAGAAAATGTTTTGATAATTATGTGACCACAATCAATGGAAGAATTTGTTGCTCTCCAGGGGTTGGAGTGCACTTCATCGAAATATTTCCATCTAAATATCCTCTGGCCATAACCCTCTTTATAGCCAGAAAGCACTTCAATTACCATTATCCACTCAAGCCAGTCACATGCAGGCCTTCCCTCTCCTCTCCACTCGCCACTCTGTGGCATTTTCCATTTTCTATTTTCCTGGCTGTTGTTTACGCCGTGCAGAGGCGGCCTTGGCTAAAAATTGTTGTGTTGTGTGTATGACAAATGGCAACAAATAAACATAATAAATAAAAGGCGAAATGCATTCCGTGAAGTGCAGGAGGCATGCAGTTCGAGGAGGAGGGGGGCACTGGATGGGGACAGCAGCGACAGTTGCAATCGGAATCGCAGAGTGTAACTAGCTCTGTCCTCTGTCCGAGGAGCATCCACCATTGGCTCTTCACTGGCGCTGTTGTTGTTTGTTGTCTGCTGCCTGCGCCAACAATGAGCACAATAAAAAGCCATGCATTTTCCAAACACCCAAAAATTGTACGGCCACGGCAACAACTACGGTCCTAGCTCTGCTAGCTCTACTAGCTCCATGGTGCAACAATGGCGGTGCGAGTGTGAGTGGTAGAAGGAGAATAACAACCGCACCGGAAACATCTCATTCACTAAATTTGTGGTCGGTTTTTGCACAAGCGTTAGGCAGTCGAAGTTGTGAAATGCCAGCGGCAACTGGAGAATGGTATGGGGTATGGGGTATGGGGCATGTGGCATGGGGAATTGGTTGCGAAGACCGTCGAGCGGTAGTGGAGCGTAGGCAACGCCAACGCCGAACGCCGTTAGTTACAACAATGCTCGGAGGCAACGGAAATTCGGCATGACATAATACGTGCACATGTGAGAGAGTGTCTGTGTCTGTGTCTGTGCCTGTCTGTCTGTGTGCTGCATGTGCGGCATGCGGCACTCGGCGTAGAGTGTGGATAGAATCGGAGTACGTAGCTGTGTATGGTGTGTGGCCACCGCGACTTGAGTTGATACAGCAATAATTCATAAAGTGTTGCATGCAAACGAGGCTGCAGCTGAGGCACATACACATGCCGCATGCGACAGAGCGTTGGTAAAATTAAAATTGCTTCACAACAAACAGCGGAAGCTCAGCGAGGAGCCACACACAGCACATGGAGAGTGAGGCACGGGGCATGGGGGCACAGGACAGAGGATAGAGGAAGAGGCAGCGCCACACAACTGGGGGCAACTGCAATGAAATTCATTGTATTCTTACAACTCGACGACTCGACTCAGCCGGAGCTTTCTCCCTTTCTCTGGAAGCGTTTTTTGCTTTAGAGTTATTATTTCATAAAGCCAGAATTATTGAAACAATACTTTACTCTCACACATGGAACTCCTGGCACCACTCCACGTGTCCGTGTGTGTGTGTGTGTGTGTGTGTGTTTGTGGCATGCAAAATTACGCTTTAGTGGCATCATTTTTTTTTCTGTTCATGCCACAAAGTTACAGCTGCGGCTACCGCTAAAGCAATATAAAATATAAATAGAAATTAAAAGCCAACAAATAAAAATACAAAAAAATATATAAAAACAGGAACGGAAAAAAGTCAGGAAAAACTTTTCCACGACAAAAGCAAAGTTAAGTTGAGTTCTTCTACCGCTACTGCTACTGCTGGTGGATGGTTGGCTGAATGGCTTGCCTCTCATACAAAATGGCTACAGTTTCACATGTGGAGAGGCAGCAACTCAAAAAGGAAGCAAGGATATGAGGGTGCACGACTGGGCATATAATTCCTCAAAATGGCAGACATTTGCGTTTTGTTTGGCGCGCTTCCTGGCGCTGCCACTTCCGCTTCCGCCGCCAGTCCCACACAGAGCAGGGAGGCACCAACAAATAAAGTCACATGCAATTAAATAAATATGACAGAAAGCCACACACACTCCCTCACACACAAACACTCACCCCTGCAACGGTATGAGGCAGAGCCACGCTGCCTGCGGCATAAAAACTAGTGAATAAATAAAGGACGACAGGAACAACTTTTGCTGTGTATGCGTATATGTTTGATTACATAATTAGTGTCATTTAATTAGATGGGGATTGAAATCATATCAAGGGGCAAGTGGCAAGAGGCAAGTGGCGGCATGGACAACATTTATTTGTGGCAAAAGTTCAGAGAATTACGAGTATTAGGCATTGCTTGGCTTCAACTCTTGTTTGAGTGGAAAACTATTTCCATAAACACATCAGAGATGGCCTCGGGACCCAGAGAAAAAAACCATGAATTTTAATATTTACATTTCGATGTTCTAATAGCATTGATCCGAGAGTGGAAATTTACATTTTGATATTACGACTATGAATATATTTAATGAAATGTATTTATCACATTAAAATAAAATGTGTTTCATATTTACAATGAATCAATCTATGCAAAAAAAATTATTTCATATAAATCAGTAAGTCGGTTAAAAAGATATAGCATTCTCAATTTTTTAAAATTTTTGAACCTATTCAGTTGAGCGGCACTGTAGGTTAGGTTAGGTTAAAGCGGTAGCCGGGAGGGGGGGGGGGGGGATAAGAGCCTCCCGCCCCCAAGCTCACTTGGACCTATAAACAGGTCCGTTGTGTTGAGAGCGGCACTGTAAAATCAATATATTTTATATTACAAAATTTGAATTTATTTCATACAAATTAAATATTTTATTTATTTATTTTATTTACTTACATTTCTATTTTAATAAAAGTAAATTATATTTATTTTCCCTGCTTTCGTTTTTAAAGCCGAATAATTAATGTAATTGTGGGTGTGTTCCTTTTTTCTCCGAGTGTACTCATGCAATACGAAATTATAATGTATATGGGCTATGCCCCAGTGCACATTATTCATGCCACACAGCATACACACAAGACTCGTCCCTCTCTGTTGCATATAGAGAACCTTATCAATACGTTTCGCATTTGTTTTCATTTTACGATTGCGTAACGAGATCAACGTCGACAAATCCAAAAGCCACTAGAACCACAGCTGCACAGAGCTATCCTTGCTAGCCCGCGGGGCCATAGAGATCCAGGAGCCACATTCATGGAGCCAATATGCCAAAATGGCAACCGCGAGGTTGCATGCAGCAGCAGACAGCATACAGGAGCCAGGAGCCAGAGGATGGTATGCTGCCTGGCGGCCCTTATCGACATTCGCGATATCTGCGAATGAACTGGCAGAAAACTAGAAAACAGCAAAAAAGAAATCAACAACCAACTAAATAGAAAAGCCGGGCTACGGGCGAGCAATGCTCGAAAGTGTTGAAACAATCGTAAAAAGCTGTTGTTCGCCTCGGGGCCGGGCCAGTAGTGGCCAGGATTCCTGGCATTCCATGTGGAGCTGAATGTGCCAATACGAGTAGCAGCATTCGGTGGCGCAACCAACAACAAACAACCAACAGACAGCAATGGCAATGGCAATGGCAATGGCAACACAGTCATGCTTGGATTAGTACAGATGCAAATGAAACAAAGCGATGGGGCAGGGCAACGTTCGCGCTGGTTTTGGTGGCATATGCAGAACTCGAATGGGTTTGCTGTTTGTCTGAACTTAAATACAAAGGGCCAGGCCTGTGATAAAAGGACTTTCCCCCCAAATACGCACACCATAGAGGGGCACATTGAACAGACGCTGTGGGGCACGGTAATCGCGACTGTTCGCTGCTGAAGTGGATTTTGAGTAGGATATTGCACAACTGTTTGCCAAGTGGCAAGCGATGGCTGGCAATTAACAGAATATGCTAAACTGTGATAACGATCAAGGGATGGGATGGCATGGCGGGGGGATACCCCTTACAAAAGGTGAACAAAAGGCCCAACAAAAGCCCCCTGTGGCACTTGCTTCTGCCTCGTTGATTAACAACAAGTGCATCGCTTGCGCTTTTCACTGCCTTCAGTGAGGAGGACAGCAGATTATGTTGAAAAGCAGATAGACATAGGTCTTTAATTCCAATTTCAGCACCATTTTTGTGGCATGTTTTAACTGTGTGTGTTTCCCCTTCCTTTGCTCCTACTTGCAGCTCACCAATTCGGATGCCACGTCCGTCACGTTGAAAGGTGTCACCCGAGAGCTGAGCGGCAGCTATCAGTGCGAGGTCTCCGAGGATGCGCCGCTCTTCCACACCGAGATACGGTCGGCGCACATGCAGGTGATTGAGCTGCCCAAAGATGACCCCGTGATGCAGGTGGACAAGAAGGTGATTGGCGCCAACGACCACTTCAAGGCAGTGTGCACTGTGGGTCCCTCCTATCCGCCGGCGAACATTACATGGTACATCAACGGACGCAAGGTGAGTGAAGGCTAATGATTGGACGCTGAGAGAGCGAGAAGGAGTGAACAAATATCTACTGATTCTTCCCATGTGCTTCCCTTTCGTTGCCTCTTTTCTCTCCTTTTTCAGATTTACAAAACGCCCTTGCAGCGCATCACACAGGATGCGTTTGAAGGCTCGACCACATACTCCTCGCTGGAGATCTATCCGCATAGCCAGGTGCTGCAGGGCTTCTTCCAGGCGATGCCCAAGTACCAGCCCAACATAATGCTGCTCTGCGAGGTCTCCATTCTCCATGTGTTCCACAAGAGCGTCCAGCAGCGTATCGGGCTGAGCAATGCGCCGCCAACCACCATTTCGCCCAATCTACTCGGCCTCGAGGGCTCCAAGCGGTATGCCAACGGCGATCCGGATAACTCTGCGCTCACCGGCGCCTCTCAGTGCATCTGCTGCAGCGCCGTGGGCTCTGTCACCCTCGCATTGGCCACGCTGGCGGTGGCACAGCTGTGACCGGTATATGGAGCAACATAAACAATTATTATTGGAAAGCCAACGCAGAGGGAGGGAGGAGCAGAAGGAGGAGGAGGAGGAGGAGGCGGCACATAAAGTGTAATTAAAAAATAACAAAAACAAGAAACTATACAAAAATATGAATGAATATGTGGATGCAAAGTGCTTAATTGCAACACAAACCAGAAATAATACAACAACAAATATGGAAAAAACAAAAAAAAAACAAAAAAAAATACTGGGAGGGGGTAAAAAGTGGAGAAAAATCATTGTCAGCGGCTAGTAAAATGTCCTTGCATTTAATATTGTTTTTTATTTGCCATGAAACTGGGGTCGCGCCGCACATCGCATCGGTTCATAGTTAAAATGGAGGTATATTTTCAATGCATTCATTCAGTTGCGCCACGCTACATGCAACATTCCGATAATAACGAAATATAATATAAATACATTCATAAGTGAAAGTTGCAAAGAAAGGCTACACTTTTCAGAAGATCAGGTGAGCGGAAAGGCCAGATGTTAAAATAATGAATGTAACAAAAAATACAAAAAAAAACAAAAACAAAAGATATAGCATAAATTGAATACGTAACAAGGCGTAACGGATTGTTGTGGATCGTTGGAGGAACATAAAAATAGGGAAAAGTAATCCATAAATTTAATTTAATTAAAATTAAAAAGAGCCTAACAGCGAAACTAAAGGGAAAAAGGGGGAAAAACACACAACAATTAATAAGCATAAGTCAGAGGTCGGAATGTTTAAAAACTATAAGTACACCCTACCACCCTCCAAAACAAGAGAAACGCAGAGCCTAGACACATAAGCCATGTAAATAATAACTGTAAAAAACATTTACAAAATGATAAATTAATACAATTAAATCAATGAACGAATAAAGAAAAACGAAAAACAGGCACAAAGGCAGCAGCAGGACCCCCGTGCGGAGGCAAACATTAATTAAAGCTATGATAAAAAAAACTAAAAACACAAACTAATTAGTGGCATAAGAAAAATCAATAAAAACAAAATCAAAAGTGAATATCGAGACAGAATGCAGTTTAATTGGATTTATATTTGAATTTCAATTGTGGCTTTAATTTTCGGTTTCTATTTGTATTTGTTTTTTGTTATTGTTTGTTTGTTAATTTAACGGAAGACGAAACTTTGTTCTAGACTAAATTTACATACTAAATGCAAAATATATATATTAAATAAATACAATATATATTTATCTAATATTTAATGTCGAATCGAAAGAATTTAGTGCGTATGAGTCGTATGTGTTAGGATGGATAGGGTTGAGAGTAAATTCTACTGAAAGTAAAAGTAAAAGCCAACTATTTTTGGAGATTCAGATGCTAAAGAACTCTGCATAGATTTCACAAAAAAAAAATATAAAAAATAAATAAAAACATTGGGATAATGTCGACAAAAGCAAAACTATTGTAAATCAAAAACGAATGAAAATCTTAAGAAATAAAATGAAAATTATTTCATCGCAATGTTGCAGAGCGGTCAAATAACTGAAAAATCAAAAACACAACAACTGAATGAAAAACTGGAAAACCAAAACACCCAAAAACTAAATTTATAACTAAACTAAAAACCAAAAACACTAATAATAAAATGTAAAATCAAACTTAAATACAGGAAACACACAAAAAAAAAACCAAAACCGAGAAGAGCATTGATGAAGCGCGATGAAATTATATATTAAATATGCATATAATTATGGATAATTTAATGGAAGTTAAGCAAAGGCCCCACAAAACGGTCAAACCCCGAATCAAACCACACGCCCCCTGGAGAGGCAAGAAAACGAAAAGAAAAACCAAAAGAAAAAACAAATGCACGCCATAAAATGGGCGTGGAATTTAGCTCAAAATTAAATGCGATAATGGCAAGAATTATATGATGAAATAAATAAATAATAAAAAATGTAAAAAAATAAAGTTTTCTTTTATTAAAAGACTAGTATTGGGCGAATTACGAACAGCATTATCTTACTGAGTAAATTTCTATCATTAGATCGATCATTAGATCAGGCCTGAACCCCTTTGTGCCTGGCGGGGAAATTCTTTGGGATTGATGACTGTATTTTCTGGTACGATTTCTGGACTCTTGACATTTAATATGAAAACCGAGATCTTTGTAGAAATTTCTACAAATTCTTCCTTCCATGTATTTAGGACAGGCATCGTAATTCTCGACTTAAATTTATTTAAACTCATACAGCTTTTTTCTGATCTCTGACTTAATTAAAGAATCCATCCCAAAGTGCATTAAAAAATCATTAAAATGAAAAGCCATTCCCAGGCGCTTTAGCCTTTTTTAATTGTACCGTTTCCCACTTCGAATATTTTGGGGCATCCTTAAGGTAGCGATAATTAAGACAGCGAACCCGTTATCAAGCAGCGCTCAGACAACAGGGGCTACAATGTTTCCAGAGCCTCTGTCAAAGCGCTGGCTGGTCCATGTTCTCATGTCGCCAGTCAACAGCTGCACTTACATGCAACACCAGCCGGTGACTAAGACTGGGACTGATACCGATGCCGATGTTGCCACAGCCGGCGAGAGAGTGTGAGTGCTGAGCATACAACACAAATAGCAGGAGAAGAGCATGAGGAATGGAAGCATGAGAGCATGGGGGCAGAGGAGCATGGACTAAACACCGAACGAGGCACTGAGCATCGCTGGCGTCTCATGTTTTGTAAATTAAGCAAACAAATTAAGTGCACTTGGCGCCCTGTTGCCACACACAAGCAGCCCCTTTGGGGGTGACATGGGGCTCGCTGTTGCGCTCCGTGTAAACACATTGTGATTGTAACAAAAGCATATATCAAAACACGTACGCATCTCTCTCCAGAAGAGGGTGGGAGGATCGGCTCGCCCTTGAGCACTGTTACCTCTCAAGGACATGTGTGTAGGGTCCCGTGTGCACGACCCCAGGGAAACCGGGGCACTCCCCGCCGCTTGCACGTTAGTTTGTCTTAATTAGTTGCACTAACAGCAGCAGCAGCAGCAGCAGAGCAGTGCGCGTGGTGGCACCGCCACAAGCCCTGCCACGATACAGCGGCCACAAAATGGCAAAGCCAGAGGCACCAGAGGCACCATTTTACCACACACACGCTGCTGCAACAAAGGGTGGAACCTTGAGCGCTACCCCGCGCGACCTGCCACAGAGCTTACCTGCTCGTATTATTTACAAGCCATTGGCTGCAGCCAAGACCCAACCACAATTTCCCCACGCCCCATGCCCTATGTTGCATGCCCCCACGCTCCCTCTACCTCGCTCGGTGCCATAATTGTGCAGTCATCGTGCTGTTTAAAGTTTTACACGTAACCATATTGCCACACAGCGCCACATCTCCCAGCACGAAGCACATACATGGCGTATGCGTAACGCAAAATGAGTAGGCAAAACGAGTTGTGCCCCGCACACACGTGCCACCCAAGCGGAGGAGTAGGAGCTCTTCAATCCACTTGGATATTTTGCTGACACACACAGCTACTAAGTAAACGTGCGGGTTATATCCATTTTCCTGAGTAAATCAACTATAATTACGCGAAACTACTAGCTTCTCCGACTTTTCCCGACTTCCAGGGCAAAGAATGAAGACAGGAATGAAGTGAGAAATGAAAACTAAAGGAACTTTGAATGAAGTCAGGAATGAATGCTGAAGGATGGCAAAATGAACCACGAATGAAGCCCGACATGAAGGCAGAATGAAGGCTCTAACGAAAGCCAGAATGAATCCAGGACTGAGGCAAGAATTGCCAAGAACAAAGCTCAGAATTAACCAGCAATGGATGACGAATGAATCACGAATAAAGCTAGGAATGAAGTCAAAATGAACCAGCAGTGAATGACGAATGAATTACGAAACGACGACTAGAATGAAGCCCATAGTTAAGCCAGGAATGATACCAGAATATAGCACCGGATTAGCTGAAAATGTTTTTGCTGATTTTGCGCAATGGAACGGGTCCAGGGGGGTTTTCGTAGTGCGTATAAGTAATGCTAATCCAAGCGCAATACTAATGCAAATTCTCGTCCCTTTTAATTAAATGCGTATCGGGGGCTACAAATAATGCAAATGGGATATAGGATACCAGGATACCAGCACCAAAACCCTTGCCAAATGCAAAAAAAAAAGAAAATCAGCAGCAAAATGAGTTGCATATTTTGAAGCGTACGTACGTACGTTACGGAGTCGCAGGACAATGTTTCACACAGCCTCCCCTCCTCCTCCTGCCCATTCAGAATTGTGGGCGTGGCTGGCGTCGAACGATTTGGTTTATGGTCTTTGCATGCATTTAACAACAGAACAGAAAAACGTTACGGGGCAACCCAAACACAGTGGCTATTGGCTGACTGGATGGCTGGCTAGATGGCTGAATGACTAGATGGCTGCTCTGCTGCTGCACTGCTGCTGCTGGGGATGGCCGACAAAATAATGTTAAAATGCAGGCAACATTTTTGGATTTATAGCGCGCTAATCGCGGCCAAAAACAGCAACGAGGCGGGGGCGTCCCCGTCCCCGTCCCTTCCCGTTTTTGGCATTTCCGAATTGTAATGGAAATTGAAATGCAAATGCATGGCATGACATTTACGAGTGCAACGGGCAGCGGCAGTGGCAGTGGCAGACGCACAGAATGAAGCACTGCCAAAAACTCAACAATAAAATGTTGCAACTAAATGCGGCGCCCAAGGATTACTTGGCAGGCGTGAGTGAGATTTCATTTTGCGGAAATTGCAAAACAAGACGCTGCTGCTCGCCACGCCACGCCCACCGATATACAGGCTATGGATTTATGAGCCCCCGCGCAATTAGTAAAAGATACAGCATCTCTTCCTTGTCTCCCTCAAGAAAAGATTCTGCTAGGCGGCGTAGTTTGCGATCTATGTATTTGTTAAAAGTCGACGATTGTTCAGCCTTAAACGGTTTATTGTGGGGGAGAAAGGTATAGCGAATGGTTCGAGTTAGGTTAACGAAAAAAGCACGATGATCCTGTTAGATGTTTGCTTGATTCAAGCAAGTTTGACTGATAGACGAGCCAGAAGT